GCCAGCCAACCTGAAATTCACCTATACATAATGGATTGTAGGGAAGTATAGCACCTCAAATATGTTTTGAGTCAGTCGTTTTAGGCTTAGAAAGAAATAATCTCTGTGTATTTGTGCAACATATAATTAATTATAGGAGAAGTGGTAGCAAAAGCTTCCATACCAAGCTCACTGAATTCCTTCAAATTAAAAAAAAAAATCTTATGGTCTTATTATTAAGTGTTCTGTGCCTCCATGATTAGCAACAGGACTTTGAAACTTGGCAGAAGGAAAAGCCTGGCATCCTTTTGATGGCTTTATGAAAAAAAAAATAGAGTGCATAAATTATAAGGAACTGAAACATACAATTTCTCATCTTTGGTTTGTGCCATACATTTAGTTTTGATAACATGTCCAAATCTTGCAATAATCTGCAAGGCTTGTGGATGCCGCATGTCAGCATCTTTCTTCTGTGTGCTGTACTCTAGATGGGACAAACACAGAATCATTCTCACCCTTTAGCTTGGAATAACTCTTGCTGCAAGTGTTGTCTACTTGGAGTAAAGAATTTATGTTTCTTGCCCATCTTTTTACTGGAAATAATAATTTTTGTTATGCAATACCTACACCAAACAAGACAAAGCAAAACAGAGTATTGTGTACAGTTAGGGTGTCAGACGTAGGAACAGGGTGGTACAGTTTCAGTTCCCCAGATGACTACAGATAATAAATATAAGTTTTTATACAAATAATGTATCTATTCAATGCTGCATTCTATCAATTCTATTTTCATGACATAGAGTGTGAATAATGCATTAAAAATGCCAGAACTTCTGGTAATACAGAGCATTGAGGAACTTAGTGATATTTTACCTGGTTGAGGTAATTTACTCTCTGTCTATAGTCTAAAGGAAACGGAATTCTGTATATTATAAAACCCAACCAACCAAACAGCAAAATCCACTAAAAGACAGCTCTGTACCACAGCATATCTTAGGAGAAGTAAGAAATAAATTGCACAATTAATTGTTGCTATGTCCTAGTTGTTGAGGACGTAACTTATTAAACATAATTTTAGCCTAATAGCTATAGCGTGCTATATAATGTAATATTAGGGATTTTTAATTATATTTGGGTCATACCATTTTGGTCAAAAAAAATGTCATTACCTTTATTGGAAGTGAGATGAGATTACTGAGCACAAATTTTATGAAAGGGCTTTTTTTCCATCACAGCTTTTATGTTCTGTGTTTTGGAAACTCAGCTTATAGAATAATGCATTTTGAAGTATATACATAAACTTACCTTAAAAGAATGCTAACAATGTTACAAAATGAAGCTTTTCAAAGACATCAGAAGATGTTGAACTTCAGGGTGCCTTTGCAATAAAACAGTGAGTGAGCTTATGGGCTGCATTAATTCACAATGCCAGGTAGCTTCACTGTGCTCATATCACACTTCTGCCATATAATAGGAAAATAATAACCAAATATATCCCAGAGATGGTTTTAGACATAATTCTGTTTTTCTTGGGGACACTGGAGAATGAAAGAGCCAAAATGCAAGAAGTAGGAAATATATCAGATTGGACGCTCTGCTCTTGAGCAGCAGGAAAGTATAAAACTCAAAAACTCTGGATGAAGGTAGAAATATTAATCCCCCTATCTTTTGCATAGGAGTCTCCACAAGAATGGAAAAATGTAAATCAAGGCCATTAGTTGACAGTAGGAAAGCAAACCCAGAGTTGTTACATGAGCCTACAGTAGTGTGAGATAACCAATTTTCATTGACTGCTTTTTTGGACTAATTTATCCTGCAGAGTTTCAAACACTCCAGCATGGGCATACTTCTGGAAAAAACCCCAACATTTTAATGTCACTCAGATGTTCTTAACTTTTATAGCACTATATCACACTGCCATACTAGTACTGTTCAAAAAAAGGTGTACCAGTGTATTGCACACATATGCAGAACTTGCTTTTCAGATCCCTTTAACCTGTTTATCATTGGCTGTTAAATATCCTTATAAGTGGCAGTATGAGAAGTAGTTTGGAGATAGGAAAGAAGAAAACCTAATTTGCAGCTGTTCAACTTAGGAATGGCAAATGACATCATCATTACTGTATTTCTTTCTGTAGGACTAAAGTTCCACTTTATTGTACTTTATCTTTTTTTCTGTCAGGGTTTTTTCCCTGCATATTTCACAGCAGGGAGTACTAGTGATGCTGTTTCCTGGGAGACATCTGAAGTTATTAGTTTGGACATTAAACACCCTGTTTAACTCTTTGTGATTAAAAACAGGTGTAAGGGAAGCTACATATGAATAAAATTTTCCTCTGGCAATACAGAGGAAAATGTCTGTACTACAGTCAGTCTTTCTCAGCTAAATTGATTTAGTTTGTATTCATATCATATTGCTGTGGATACTTATTAACAAATATTTTGAGACAATATTTTCATTATTAGCATCAAGAAAATAAGTTTTATGGATAAACTGTGAACCAAATTTTCTGAAAGTCAATTTGGAAAAATTCTGTTACTTGCCTGAGATTTTTTGTCTGAAATTATTTGCTTCAGAAAACTGCTCAAACACACTATTTTGTCAGGAGAAATTATATATATGTGGGTTTTCTTAAAAGTAGACAATAGTTTATTTGACTTACTCTGAAATATAGGACAATTGTATTTGTGTACATGGAGGCATACATGCATAGTGCGCTGCAAGCTGGAAAACAGACCATTTTGACTAACTCAAATATTTGTATAACTTTCAGTTAATGAAAAAGTCAGGACTGCTATTATTTCCTCTTATAAATGTTCAGTGTTCATTTGAGATGGGGAAATGCTTGTATGCAAAGGCTTTATATGAAATGACATAATTCATTTGGTGCTTGGTGCTATGCCATATTTACTGGTTTGTATTAGCTAATTATTTAATCAGTTGGTCAATGAGATATCCTGATTGTAACTGAGTACACATTTTAAGCAACTGACTCCTAAAATGGCACAAAGCTCTGTTATTTATGAAGAAGTTATTTCTAAGAAGCACATCTGATGGGTACCTGCCATGGTTCCAACACATTGCTTCCCACTTGCTTGGAGCTGGTTTCCAGGTATTATTTTGAACTTATAATGCTCTTTATTCAAAGAACAGGTCAGCATATATACATATGTGTGTGTATAAAAGATGTACTGAGCATATTAGTGTTTCTCAAAACCTCTGTTATTTTAAAAGTCCATGTTGGTTTTGTCTGTATGTAACTGAAATATCAAGCAGTTTTGGCAATACTCTGTTAAAAATTTTAGGAAATCTTATTGAATGGCCTATACAGAAGTGCCACCTTCTGCATCTAACTGCAGTGAAAGTGATTATTTAAATAAACAAGTGATTTATATATATTTTTTAATATACATACACTGTAAAAAAAAGAAATTTCAAAGGTCAGCTATAGCCAACTGTCACATAAACTGTTTTAACCTCTGCAAAGAATCCTCACAAAACTTTCATCTTCTGAGGAACCCCAGAAAAATATATTCTGTATATTCTGTAAGTACAAACTTAGTCCTTTGAAGCTTTACTCATATAGACAGCTCCATCAAAGCTAAATAAAACCTTCAGATGATGCAGGCTGTGTTGGGCCAGGACTCAAGGTAATGTTTTGAGATGCTCAGAAGTACAAATACATATGGTAAGGTGAGGAACAGCCTAAACCCAGAGGCTGCCTCACATTCATCTGGGATCTGTGCGATCAAGTGACACTGATGATCAGCTGGCTCCAAAGCTGGAGAAGTCCTTTGGTATTTACATTGCACTGGGATGGATTTCAGCTTCGTAACAACATGGGGCACAAACTAATGAGCACATTGACTCATATGCCTGAGACTACGTTATAAATTTGTTACAATTGCAGATTAGATCTTACAAAATAGTCCTTCGGGGGCAGACAGCTGTGAGTTTTCATTGCTTTTGAAAATTACATGCAAGTGACGGGTACTTAAGAAATAAGGGAATAAAGCAGACTCTAAAATTACAAAGTTTGAGAAGTTCACCAATAATCCTGTAGGAAACTGGCAGCAGAATTAGGGTTTTTGAGATGTAAGTTTTCAAAGTCTAGGGAAGCACCACAATAAGACAGTCATCTCTCTTCTCCTTTCCTCTGATCCAGGGAGTTTTGTTTTTCCCTTCCTTTACAGTATAATAGTCCCATTTTGTCACTGCAGTCGGTAGCACTCCCTTTTTGTTACACACCATGGGACTTGGATCTATTATTTATCCATGGCAGATAACAATCTAGGCCATGTCTGCACAAGAAAATGTTGAACTGGTTTCAAAAGAACAACTATAAGCCTGATGCACTTAAAACAGTTTGCCACATCTTTAAGTTGTTTTTGTAATTTAGAAAATTCAGCTCGACTGATTGAAGAGATGATAAAGTCAATTTAAGTCACCTGGTTTAGGGAGCTGCACCTGCAACTTTTCCCTCTAGACAAGGTCTTGCCTAGTAAGTAGGAGGATCAATGGCAGATTAATGCAACTGGCAATGTAAGAAGCTGGAAAAACCCCCCAAACTTGCTATTATTTGTGTGGGTTATTTTGTAAACTATTTAGGCAGGGATTTTTTTCTTCATAGATATCTCTAAAATGACAGCTAACACTCTACTAAAATTAATCCTAATAATGTAGATAATGATATGCTAAATTGTTTTCAATATAGTGATTCCAATTTTATGTGAGTGTAGTATTGAACTGAATTTACTCCGTTATGACAAATACTGTAGCAGTGGGCCACTTGAGCTGTATGTGTTCATTCTGGTGGGAACCACATGCTTGCAGCTAAAAGAGAGATAAAAAGTAGATATAGAAAGAGGAGAATGTATTGCTTTGTTTAAATTTACAGTTCACATAGTACTTGTTTTTCTTGGCATATGTTGTTTACTATATAATCTAATAGATAAATAAAGGCCCCGATGGTTTGAAGCATGCTGAGTGATGATCTGAACTAGCAAGTATGCCTGGATGGAAAACTCTTAGAGAAACAGAGCTTTTATTCATCAGTGTAGGATCATCTTATTTACTGTGGCTGAAGGGTTTAATTCTTCTGTCTTACATGATACAAGGAAAATTAGATCATGCAAAGCACTGGAGTGATTCATTCATTGGCCATATTTTGATTTTTATGCATGTTGGCCCATTGACATTTCTAACACAATACATTAAAACAACAGGGAGCAAGAACATTTTTTTCCTCAGCTATTTGCTCTGTGTTTCCTGTCCAGCAGTCACTGAGGAAGGAGGGATGGCTGTAGTGAAGTTGTAGTGCCACAGCTGAACCAAGAATTTATTCTGTTGATACCAAGAGGTAGAGCAGCAAGTACAGTATGGGTTTCTGCTGTGTTGCTGAATAAACTCAAGAAAGTGGTTTGCAGTGAGGAATACATATTCTCCTGAAACTTATTTCCCCTCACAGCATGTGCCTCCGCTTTCAGCAAGAGTGAGTTATGCTGTATTAGCAGAAAGGGGAAAAATGAGCCAGATTTTTAAAGGTGCTTAGGCAGCTGAAGAGGTAGGTAGATGACTAATAGGATTTAGGATCCAAGCTTGGGAAACCTTTAAGTCTTATATAAAATTCTTACAGAAAACCTGTAGCTCCTCTAGTCTGCCTGAGCAGTGATAACCTACTATCATTCCATTATTTTAATTAGTTAATTCTTGTTCTGGAAAGACTCATTTGACAGGGTTTTCTGATCATTTGCAAGGTATTTCTGGTTTCCACACAAATTGTTCTATGTTCTAGAAACAAAAAAATATTGCTATGAGAATGTGGTCCTTTCCTGGAGATAGCATGTTTTTGGTTTTTATTTTTTTCCTGCAGGTGTTGCTTTACCAGTGACATACATCTCCTTAAAGGTAAGTTATGCTTTATGCCACAAATTAATGAGCTGCCTAGTAGGTGGACAGTCAGTGCAGATAATATTCCAAGTAATCTAGCACCTTATGGGAACTGAAATCCAAGGTGTGATCCTTTTGTCAGTGTCACAGATTGGCAATTTCGATCACTTTTTCCCATGGCCTATTCCATCACCGCTACAGCCCAGCACGTGGGGCTGCCCCGGCGCTGGGAAGGGCGGAGAAGCTGGGGGAAGGTCTGGAGCACCCGTTTTATTTACGAGGAGCAGCTGAGGGAACTGGGGTTGTTTAGCCCGAGAAGGCTTGGAGTGAGGGTTGGGGCAGCTTAAGGGAGGGTTTAGGAAGGTGGAGGCCGGTCTCTCTCTCAAGCAGCTGCCGACAGGATGTACCTCTAGCTGGGCCAAGGGAGATTTAGGTTGGGCATAGGAAGAATTTCTTCATAGAAAAAGGGATTAAACATAAGAACGGGCTGCCCAGGGAGGTGGTAGGGTCATCGTCCGGAGAGGTGTTAAAAACAAACTGAACGAGGAAACACTGAACCACTTCATGCCATGGTCTAGCTGGCGTGGTGGTGTTCGGTCCTAGGTTGCACTGGATGGTCTAAGAGGTCTTTTCCAACCGAGCTGATCCTGCGAGGCACGGTAGTCGCTGTGTGCCGCTTTGAGCTCATGTTCCAGGAAGGATGTCGCAGCGGGGCCCGGGGCAGCCGCCGGACAAGGATGACCGTGACCGGGCACGCAGCCCTCGGGCCGCGCCAGCTCCCGCTGCCACCGCCCGGAGCCTGGCTGCGCCCTGGGCCCTGCCGCAGGAGGCGGCGGGAGCTCCGCGCTGCCGCCGCCCCCGGCCCGGCCGCGCTTCCGCCCGCGTCAGCTGACTCTGCCAGGCAGCGGCCCGGCCCGGCACCGAGCCCGCGGAGCCTCCGGCGCGGCCACCCGCAGCATGGCAGGGGCCGTGGTGAGCGGAGCGCAGGTAGGTGTCCGCGGCCCGCAAGGCCGGCCGGTCGCGGCCCCACCTGCCGCGGGCAGCGCGCCCCGGCCGGCGCGTCCCGCCCCCAGCACCGGGAGCGGCTGCTCCCACTCCGCGCCGGCTCCCGCCTCTCTGCCGGTGCCGGTGCCGCTCCCGCTCAGTGGGAGCCGGTTTAGTTTCCAGCCGCAGCGGGGCCGGTTTAGTTTTACAGCCGCGCCGCGCAGGTATCGCCTCCGTCGCCGCAGCGCTGTCCCGAGGCCGCCGAAGGGAAGGGGCTGAGGAGCGGTGCCAGGGGTGCGCTCCCAGCCCCGGCGGATAACAGCGCTCCGGGCCGGGCAGGGCTGCGCTGCCGGTGCCGCTGACGTGCGGCGGGCGCGCCCCCGGGGCTCCCGCGCAGCGCGCTCCCAGCTGGATGCGCTCCGGCTCCGAACCGCGCTTGCTCTGTCCGGCTGGGGGGCCGCGGGAGCGAGCTGAAGGAGAAGGAGTGAAATGTGCTGTTTGTTGTTCCTCCTGAAACCGCTCATGTTTGTTTCGGTTTGGTTTAGGAGAAGTTGGGAAATTAACACAGCCTGCTGACTTTTACCCAACGCCTTGTATGGCTACTGAAAAAAATTCTTTGTGAAAGTTGATGACATTAGTGATGAACCTGTGACTAAAGTTAGAACTTTTTTCTTCCCCTAAGGAGGAGGAAGCTTGTCTTATTTTTGAAAATGGTTTCCCTTTAAACCAGGGTGCTGCCCATCTAATTGCTTCTTTAATCTGGTCACTATTTCTGTGTGGAATTCATGTAAATATGTGTGTAATATGAAGGCAATTAATTGGCTGATTTTGAAGCTGCTGCAGGAAATAGTCTCTGTGGTGCACCCTGGCATTGAGTGACCCACTGCCTTCTTCCCTTGAGCATGCCTTGAGCCCTTTAATTTGGCTATGTTCCCAGCATACAATCTTCTAACAGCATAGAGTAAAATGTAATGCTCAGCTGACTGGAAATATTCTCCAGATGTAGCTCCCTTCAATGGGAGAGAATGTACAGTATTGAGAGTTCATACATGACCTTTTTGGTGACATTCCTTCATAAAGACGTTACTCTATGGGTTATTAAGATTACAGTATCCTTGTAGAATGATCACAGAGACTAAATGGTGATGCCCTCTGAAACTAAAGCAGAAGAGAGGTGCAACTGCTATTGATAGTTAAACTTATGTTTTGAATATTTTGTAACAACATGTCTTTTTCATGAATTGCATACAGTGTGTTGAAGAGTTTGCTAGAATATCTCAGGCCTCCATAGCCTATCTGATACTGGCGTTTGTGGGAAACTGAAGATTTTGGTGAGGTATTGAGTAGGCCACCAGTAATGACTGACTGTGACCAACCTTCACTATATCTTAGAGAATTAGGTCATAGAAACCTCTACATTCAGTTCTTAATGTTGTGTGATGGTCTGTGACTGGTATAGAAAAACCTAAGAAATCTGCTATTACTGATGTGCTTTGCAGCCAAAGAGCTGGAGTCTTGGGAAAAGGATGCTTGCTCTCATCTCTCAGTGGTGACGTCTCTGGATATGTACTTGGAAGCTCATAGTCATGTTGAGGGTATTTGAAGAGGAAGCAAAAGGAAGAATACTGAGTTATGTACATTTTATTGTTTCCTGAGTAAATTATTTTGAAGTGAAACAATGAAAATGAAGAAATATTCTCATTTCTTCTGTCTACTGACATTTCGTTTTATATTAGCATTGTACTATGAGTGTGCTAAAGTGGACTCTGTGGAAGTAAAATGCCTTTACAAGGCCCTAGCATTGAGAGGCCATGATAACAATATGTCATCTGCAAATATGCCTGTGAATAATGTGTTTGCACCAGTTGTGTAAATATATTTACATATTATAACTGTTCAAAGGTTGAACCTTTGAAACATTTTATGTATTTTGTCTCCTGTGTGCTCTAAATGACATTTGTATGAATCCTTTTCTTCAGCTTCTATTCTCGTGGATAGGGCTTTGATGGCCAGGTAAGTTTCTGAAGCAGTGTGTGGCAGGCCAGAGTCCCCTGCTCCTTCTCAGCCACGCCTCCCTGGGCTTGCTGTGTTTGTAGCTCCTCAAGACATTCTTGTCCTCCCAGTGTTAATAGGCATCATATTTTAGTTATTTCTGTTTCAACCCGTTATGTTGAACCAAATGCTTAATCCAAAGTGTTAAGCTGTTAATGTGATGTCTTTCAAAGGGTTTGCAAGCATTAGTTTAAAGAAATCTACAATTCAGTGAAGAATGATGCAGTTCTTTTGTACATACCTTTGTGTATGTTGTAAAACACGTTGTGATTATCTTAGATGTAAACTGGAGGAAAACCTCAACATGTTTAATTCAATAAATTCTGTAAAGCATTTTCTGTTATATAGAAACCATTAGGATGCCAACTACCCAAAACAGTTCCTTTCCCTTTTGTTCTTATATTTGCTCAAGTTGTGTGTATGTTCTGGTGCCAGAGTATATTGCAAGAGCAGGTCTGATTTAACAAGAGGAAGAAGTTGTTAAACTGAGCTTCAAGCTACCTGTTTTCTGCTCATAAAAATTATTTCACTGTTGTCAGCTTTATCTGTTGAAGTTATTGAACAAAATGAATTAAATGGAATGCCATATAGTATTATCAGATGCAATCATTTTTAGAGCGTAGGAGATCAGGATGACTTGCAGAAGTACATACTGTCAGTCTGCTCTGCAGAGGAGTCTCTGTTTTAACAGAAGGTGGAATACTATCAAAACAACTTTGATGGATTTTTTTGCATATTTTTCATCCAGTGTATTTTACACTAGTGGAATATGGTATTGAAATTGACTTTATAATTAAACAAATGGATAATAACAGTGTTGTACAGATAGTGGTCTAACATAGTGCTTAACTTGCTAGTTGGTCATTAAGGGAAACTAGGATCTCTGCAGCACAAAATCTGAAATGTCAGTATTTTGAACACAGAAAGGATGAGCCAATATAGATGTGTAGAATTCTTGACAATAGTTTTGAAAAGCTTTGCAAGATTTCTTCTGGATTGTGGGAAATCAAACCAATGACTTCTAAAACGGTACAGCAGAAATGATAGAAAAAGTTTAGCTGCTTTACTTTTTGTTCTTCTGGAAATATTGTCACTCACTTCATTCTGACTAAAAACAAATGAAACCAAACAGAATCTGAGTTTTGTGCTACCACTAATTCTTCCTGTGTTTGCTGAAGATGGGTTAGATGGGCTGGTATGAAAAAGAGTACATGTATGTGAAGGTAATGAGAAGCCAGAAATCTTTCAGACTTCTGTGACTGTCTGAAAAGAAGCTGCATGCTTCATTTTCATGGACATGGGTAGCCCTCTTGCTCTGTCCCTAGTGTGCTACTGGGAGTAATAATCTTCTCAAGGAATGGTTAGAATGGATTGACCGTACACTGCTGAGGTATTTCTGCACCTAAATTTAGAAAATAACCTTTGTTTGTTGTATGTGAAGGGCCAAACTGGAAGATCCTTTGGATGGCTTCTGGTCCTTCAAACCAATTTCTTCTGGAGCATGCCAGAATGGTAATGTGAAGTAACATTAGATCAAAGTATTAACAGTGAAATAGAAGAAATGTGATACATTTAATTGAAGTATTTTTACTGGAAGGAGACAAAACATGCATAAAGACTATAGATATGATAAATATTAAGTAGATGGTATCAATGGGAAAATGAGTTTGTGTGATAGATTTTATAGCTGTAAAATTTATGTAGTTTAAAGCTGTAATGCCAATTCGTTGCACGTTATCGTTTTATCAATGAGACAAAATCTGGACAGGGACCCAAATCTACTGGTGAAATGTTTCCCTGTTGCTTCTCTTTCTCAGGTGTCCTACATTAGTCAGGACTGTGAAGAAATTCCAGAATTCCTAGGAAGAAAATATGGACACATGGCAAAAAGGCTAGATCTTAGCTTCAACTTGCTAAGGTATGTGGCAGTATATAGTTTTTCAAGGGCAATGTGGAATTCCAACTCCTGAAATAGACTGGGTTTTTTTTCAAAGTAGAAGAATGTACATTGGGTACATTTAAATGTTGTCAAGTGGATGACACTGTTTTATAGGTAATGTTTGTCTCCTTTTCTCCCACACTTGGAGCACAAATAACCAGGTAAGTCTGGAAAAGTAATATGTGTTAACATAAATTATGCCCATTGAGAAGCTTATGCTTTGTCCTCTGCTTAAATTGGAAAATAAACGTCGTTACCTGAAGAAGTAAAAATGGGATCAAAAGTAAATTTTCCTTAACCAAAACACAAGTAAGTATGTGCTTCTCTCCCTTTCTAAAAATTTTATTTATGGATTTCTGGTTATTACTATATATGCTTTATAATGCTCTTTTCCCAGATGATGTGTTTTGTTCTATAATTTTATTTTTGTGCATCTGTGTGGTTAAGTGCTAAAGCTAGGCACTGTTCGAATTTGTAATTCCTTTTAAGTATTTTAATATATGGATTGGTTTAGGATTCTGTAGTATTGCTGTGAGCTACTACAGCATCCCATTTCATTTAATCCTTATAAGAGAGCCTGCTGAGGTGCAGCAGAGTATATTTCAGGCTGAAAAATGTGGGTAAGTATGGAGGAAGAATTTGAGTGCAGTTGTCTGCTTAATAAAAAAATAGGTTTGTGGAGGTAGGGTTGGACTCAACTAATTTTCCTTTTATTTTACTGGGGGCAAGCTTGTCTGCTTGTGAAGAGTAATACAGAAAGTTGTGTGCTGATGCCTTGTTTTCCTAGAAGAAACAACCATTGATTTTTACCTTACTTAACGCTCATAAATGTTCTTCTGAGCCTTTGTTAACTCTGAAAGACTGAATCATACATGTAAGAGGTAGCTGAGCAAAGGAGACACTAAATCTGTGGATTGTTGCTGTCTTATACTGTGACTCTGTATCGTTGGATATTGTAATCAGAAAAGAGAATTTTGCTGGGGGATGGGATCAAAGGGTAATTTTTTTTTTAATTTTGTCCTGAAGATAATTCAAGGGTCTGTATGTATATTAAGATTTAGCATGTTGACAAGACTGCTCCTTCTTTATGTTTCTGGGAAAAAAGGTGTTTGTCTCTTTCAGTTAATGCATGATTTGAACAGCAATTCTCTGATTTTGTTTCATCTCATAAAGTAAAATAATAACACTAAATTTGGGTGTAAAGTACCACTTTAAAGCCCTGATCATATTTTCATAGAGAGCACAATTGGTGATGTATTTCTGAAATTTGTGTTTTCTTTCCTTCTTTTCTTCTCTACTCAAAAACACTTAGCTTGTTTTTCAGAAGGGATATAATTTGGTTTTATTGAGGTTTGTGGAAGAACAATCAGCTTGTGATGTAGGAGAAGTTGTGCTTGTAAATCTATAAAAGTATTTTAAGACCGGAAATCAGATTTGGGAAAGGGGAGAAGTGGATTTTTTTTTTTTTTTCATTTGGGAAGGTAATACTAAATGGTATGAGAGCAGTAAGGATTTCTCATTTTTAGTAGTGCTTAGGTTTATTAAGCGCATGGAAACTAAGAGTGAAGTATTTATGGTGCAGTAGCTGTTCACACTGGTCTGCATTTATATATTAGCCCTCTACTTACATATTATTGAGAAAGTCAGAAAAGATACAGAATAAATGCCATAACCTTAAATGAATGTGAATATAGAGTAATGTCTTGGGCAGTTGTTGAAGCAAGTGTAAGCAGTGACATCTTCTTTAAACAGGTGTTTAAAAATCTAACAATGTAGTATAGTGACGAGTTTTTTGATTTTTTTAGATTGTTTAAAAATCTAACAATGTAGTATAGTGACGAGTTTTTTGATTTTTAGCAGTAAATGCTTAATTTGAAGAGTTTAGCCTGTTGTTTTCAGTGGGGAAACCATCCCTACAATTAATGTTGATTTAGAAAGGAGTTTGATTTTTTTAATATAACTTACTGTCTCCTGTTGTCCCTTGGTAAAGGTGTGAGTTGAATGAAGAAGACCAAGGGTGACCAAATATAGGAAAAGATGAAGAGAATGCTGTGTTTTGCTAGCACTGTAGTTATTTGCAGTAAAGATGTTAGCTTTCATTATAATTTGATTTATTATTGGATGAGGGTTTGTGTGTTTTTTTGAAAAGAAAAAAGAAAACCAAATGTTCTTACATGTGATGGTTTTGTTACAAAGATTTCCCTGGTTATTTTCTTTTTGCCTGGGGTGTGTCCATATAACAGAGGAGGGGAGGGTTGTCAATAGTTCTTTTAAACTAGCAGTTTAATACAGAGGAAAGTGTACATTTTTCACTGTTTTTTTTTTTCTGACTTCAGGGTTCTTCCCAGGCTAGAGCCCCTTCCACTTTTTTAAAATTTAGGGGCCATGTAGATGTTTAATTATCTTTGCATCAGATGTGGTATATCTAATATCAACACTTGATACATAATCACAAACAGTTGCTTTTGTGTTGTTCTTGTTTGCCTTTTTCCAAGAGCTAGTGTCTCTCCTCAAAGTGACTGCTACCAGTTGCAGTGGTTACACATCTCCCCTTTTCCCTGGGAGGGAAAGGAAAGAAAGAGGTGAAAGGTACAAGGGAACCTAAATGGGAATTTTGGGAAAGAGGAGGAGTAACAGCAATTTGCTGTGTGTGAGGCAAAGAGAAAAATGTGTGTGTACTTAATGGGCAGGATGTGGTGCCGCTGGATTGCCTCCTGCTTATGTCTCTGGCTGGTGGAAATCCTTCAATCCCAGACAACTGTAGTCCACTTGTGACTTATTTCTTCTCATGCTGTTTTCATTGCATTGATTTTGTTTGAATACATTCTAATATCTTTTGTTTCCTTTTGGGGCCGAGAGAGGGTTGTGAAGAAGATGGAGCCAAAATCTTGTCAAATGCACAGCAAAAGAACAAGAGGCAGTTGTCACAGCTGCAGCAAGGGAATTTCCAGCCACCTCCGGGAAGGTGGAGTGGAAGAGGTGCCTAGAGAGGCTCTGGAATGTCCACCCTGGGTGGTATTTAAAATGTGACTGGACATAACTCCAAGCAACCTGATCTAAATTTTGAAATCCCCCTTTTCTGAGCAGGGAATTGGAGTAGATGATCTCTAGATGCTCCTTCCAACCTAAATTATGCTGTGATTGTGCAGCTTTATTGGTGTGGTACAGCCTGAGTTGTAGCAGCTCTTTTCATTTCATAGTGAATTTCATCTATTCTAGAAATGAACTGTTTACACTGTGTATTTTCAATAAGGCATGTTTCAGCAGCAGAGATATTTTGCTTTGGATATCTGCTCCTGAACTTCTCATGGCAACTGTATTTGATAGCCTTCCCTAGTAACAGGGTTCTTTCATAATAGGTGGAAAACATTTCCCAGTTCTCATTTTTGTGATGGCACAGAGCATGGGAAGAGGAGACACTGATGTGTGAGGGTTAGTGTTACCTGGAGACTTTGTAAAGGATTTCAAGGTGGAATGAAAAACTATTTTTGATCATGGAAAATTGAAGATTTCACTAAAACAAGAACAAGGTAAGTAGTAATCACTGGTGAAGGAAGGAAAGTAAGTGTGTAAGAAGGATGTAGTAGAGGTAGGGGGTAGAGATTTGGATGAAATACCAAGATTTTAGTTTAGATGCATCTTGCTATCTTGTGGGAAGAAAAAAAAAACCCCAAACAACCCACAGCTTATTCAAAGCTTTTTTTCACTTGTCCTAGATGAATGTGTTCAAATTTTTTCCTTTCACATTGAAGGCTAAATGCACTCCAGTGCTTGAATAACAGATGTCAGTGGTTTTGTACAAACAGGTGCCATGCTTTTATAAATAACATCTATAGTTCAATTCACTGAGAAGTCCATCTTGTGATTTTGTCCTCAGTAGTTTTAAACATGTGAGTTGTTTTCCTTTTTCTTAGAGAGACTTCTTCTCGGTCTAAGCTATGAGGTGAAAGGGATAGTGAATCTTTAATCTTGGCCAATGAGGAAGGATTAATCCAATAATTGTGCTCATGGAGATACAAATATCTCTTCCTTCTCTCTAGGGTGCAGATTATTTCTGCTAGGAGCCTGAATAATTTGCACAGTATGTGCTTGTGCATAATTTCCACTGTGTGATGAAGAAGGTGCATGAATGAAAACATTCCCTTGAACTTCAGTCCTAGTCTGGAATGTTCCTCCATGACTTTTGTGAAGCTGAGGCTTTGTAATATCTTCTCTGTGGACTAGGTATTGTTCTTTCTCTCTTCTGCCTCCTGTTTTTTAGCCTGGGGGAATATGCAAGTGGCAGCCTGAAAATGGACTTCAGTTTTCACAGGGCATGTTCCTCTTTGTAAGTTGAGCATGTGAAAGAAAGGCTTTTTTTTTTTTTTTTTAACCACCTTCCCGGTCTGTGCAGCAATAAGACATGCAGAACAGGAAGATGAACAACAAAAGAGAGATGGAAATAAAAGCCAGAATTCAAAACAAAGCATGACATATTTTTAAAGCCTTTAGACTCATCTTTATAGCACTTTAAAATGTTGAAGGAAATGCACTATTGTTAAAACTTTTTGATGGTTTTATTTATAAGGTAGAAAAATATTTTCCCCATAATTGGGTAACTCTTAATCGTAGCAATTGCATATTTATCAGTATGAGGGGCTGTTATTAATGTAGCTGTCATGCACAAACACATTTCTGCATTAAATCCATTTAGTATGTGCATTATTCGGTCTAGAATGTCACCAGGACATCAAAGCCCCCTTAGGCATAAGAGCACAGTGCCCTGCTGTGGCTGCAGAAAGGGCTTGATCAATAAATGTAACATGTTAATGCAGAGCAAATAGAATAAAAGATTTCTTTGACAAGACATGAAAAATCACCTTGTGGCAGCTGGCATGGTGATGCCATTTCAGCGGAGACACTAGCAAAGTTGATCTGACAAGTAAAGAGGAGAGATGATGGTTATAAGGTGCTTTTGTTTCAAACTTCTTTCTTGACCT